AAAGCTTATAAAACCTACATATATATATTTATTAATAATTCTAAGCCTAAATCCTAACTCAAATACTAAAAAAACCTCAAAAAATAGTTCTTAAAAAATTTAAATTTTTTTTAAAAAATAAAAAATTTCATTTTAATCCAATTTTATTTTAATCTGTCACAATGCTTTATGCTTAACAATTAGTAATTACAATTAATACTTAGACTAAGTAAACTATGCTTAATTGCAACAATTAACAATTAGCTCTAAAGATATAAAAAAGCTGTAGACATTAGACCTGTTTACTATCAAAATAGATACAGACTTCTTTCTTCTTTTAAATTTTCTTTTGTATAGTTTAGGCTACAAATAAATTAGTTTGAGTTTCTTTTTTTGCTATTTTAAAATATAAAGTTTAAATATATTTTTTTCTTTATATAAGAGTTATATACTCTTTTTTTTGTAAGAGAGCTGTATATTCTTTGCTTTGTAAAAAAGTTAAATTAAATTTTAATAAAAACAGAGACATAATCTTACTATTAATATTTAAAAAAAATTCTTTTGTAATATTATAAGATTTTTAAAAACAAAAACTTAAGGATAGCCTATCTTATTTATTTTAATAAAACATATATTTATCTATAAACTATTGTTTGCCTGAACTGCTACAGAAAGAAGGATATAGTTTCTAATTGAAGTAAAAATTATAATTATCTCTTAGCATCATTATAAATCTGTAAAGAATTTCTATAGCTATATCATTATTATAGTACTGCTATTAAATATTGTAACAATATACAAAAATATAACTTAATAATAATAATAATATTTTTTTAATATTTTATAAAATAGGTGAGCAACTTAAGAAATAAGCTTTGTTAATAAAATTATTAATTTTTTAATCCATTCTATTGAATATCCTTTTTTTTTATATTGCCAAATACCAATTACAGCAAATCTTTATTAGATTTTTAAATAGTATAGTAAGAGTATAGTTAGTCATATGTGCAACTTTTGATTGCCTATTTAAATAGTCCACCCAAAGGTTCTACACTAATTGCTATATCTATAATCTAACTAAGAGATTACCTATTTAAACTCTCTAGCATTCCCCATTCTATACCACCCTACAATTAACCCATAATACCTCATACTGTTACTTTATATAAATGAAAAAAATCAGACACTGATTATAAATACCAATACGTAACATTATAATGTTTTAGATGTTAAGTTTGCCACAGTGAAAACCTAAATATTCACTTTCAGGTTTTCATTTTCCAGCACTCATATGATCTTGAAAAGAATATTGTAGAGTTTTGTAAGAATGAATTTTCTAAATTATTAAGACTCTGTGTTTGTTACAATAAATATTCAACTGAGATGAATTCAAGAAAATGTTATGTGATCAAAAGAAAGATGTAATAAATTTATCACAAAATTCATAATTTGATCGATGATTGTCATAAAAAAATAACAAGATATCTATGTGCAACTACCAAATGATTATTTTACTGATTTTTGAAACCCAAGAAATGGTAAAGCGAACGAAATGAAAAATTAGAATAAAAACAGTGTGTAATATGTTAACTTGGGGTCATTTTCAATTTTGACAATTCTTATTACTCAAGAAGAGCGAATATTCTGGTAAAAGATTGATAATTTGTACCGAGGAATACATCTTCAAGACATGTGGACTATGTGTATATGTTAAGAACAATTTAGGTGGAAACAAGGAATTTAAATGTGACGAATGTGGGTTGATCATTGACAGAGATGTGAATGGGGAGAAAAACATCTTGCTTAAACTGTTGAGTCAGGTTACGCCTAACGCTGTGGCCTACCACCCTTGAGCTCCGTTCGGAGCTCATTGTATAATCAATTATCTGTTAACCCTTGTTATCAAATGTTTAATTTTTTGTAGGAGTTCGTGTGAAACACTACCTGTTATGCATTTTTGTAATGGTTTGAAAAACCATTTCCTATTTCATTTCTGTGCCAAAATTTGTATACTCAATAATTCGATTACAACAAATACATAAAAGACATCATGAATTAATATTTTTTATTGTATGTTTTTCATAACTCTATTACCCCTCTATCTTAAATAAAATGAACTATTATATTAATGTATTTATTTGAAATATATTCCTTACTTTATTGATTGCAAGTATTTTAACAATATCTAATATGTTTTTAGCTTGCCAATACAATATCAGATATGGATATCATGGATTTCAATATTTGTGAAGTATACCACTCATGACCTTCGGCATATTTTTTATTACAAATACGGATTTACTATTAATATATTTTGAAATATATTTTTCATCTTTATTGATTGCAATCTTAGCAATTTCGAGTGTTTGACGAATTTATCTGTACAATATGAACACATGGTCTCTGATATTTAATATTATATACAAAAATAATACAATTTATTCGTGATTTTTAGAACATTTCCATAGTATAGATAAGGATATTTCTGACAGCATACATCTTATTGTTTAGTAATTGTCGGGGCTGAAGCAGGAAATTAGGGACCTCGATTTAAAAATATAAACCTACCCAAATTCACTTATCCATTTTTATTATCAAAACTAACCCTAAATCCTAAGCTAATTTATAATAAAAATCCAAAAAAACGCACCCCAAAAATTTTTGAAAAATTTAAAGTATTGAAAATTTCCTCAGCCGCGATAATAATTTTTTACATTATCTAAAATTAATCTTTCTGACATCTTATGAATGTTTTTTTTAAAACTACAATTTTTTTCAATATGATATTGTTTATCATATATATCAGGAAAATTTTAAAACTGATGATTATAATCGATAAATGATGATTTTTGAAAAGTTTGAGTTATACAGCATATTTCATAGCCATCATGTGAATTTATGCCTTTTATTCGGATCATATTGAGTATGCTACACTACTGTTCCAATTATTTTGGTGTACAAATATGTATACTAAAATGTACAGTTTAAGGGATAGTTAGCAAAGATTTGTTGAACTTTCAAACCTAGTGATTTGATAAAAGGACATTGGAACCGTTTTTGTTTCAAATCCAAAACTAAAGATACTATAATAAGGAATATACAAACAACTTGGATACAATTTAGAAAAGGGAGCTATCAAATACAAGACTTGTTTGGTTAAGAAAATACAAGGCTTGTTTGTTAAGTTTATCAAATACGTAATAATATATATTTGTTGTAAACGGAAATTTGAGATAAGGAATTAAATTGTTTTTCTGAAATCAAAAATGTATTTATACAAAAATACATTTGGTATTATTTTATTGATTGGGACTACCGTACAATGAAATGTATTAATAACCATTTTTTTCAAAAGATCTAACAACAATCCTTTTGAGTATTATTTTATTATTGCAAAAATAAAATGAAGACATTTTATTAATGAAGTTGATAAAAAGCAAAAACACAGATATTTATTGATTCAAATTTTGACTGTACAGTATTGGATAGCTAAGGTTACATTTCCAGGGTTTTTTTTGTGGTTCCATTGGCAAAAACATCGTTTTTGGCCATTTGACCATTTTTATTGACCCACCCTAAAAAAAAGATTAACATACACGATAATAATTGTGTCACGTGCATATCTCTAATTCGATAAAGAAGAAATTCATACAATATATATTATTTAGCATTTTCATATTATAGTACATACTAAACGTTCAACTAAACAAGTCCTTGTTTTATTGATCAATTAATTCGTTCTCGACTTTGAACTTTGAACTTTGTAACGGATGTTTCGTGATAGAGAAAGCGAATATCAACGGCTCGCCCAAATGGTAACTGAACACCACCGTTATTACCGATACGAAAAGAAGGGGAAGCCATCTTGTGTGAAGAATTAATACAGTTTTGAATTGTATTTCTATATTTTATTTCACAAGTTCAGATGATAGCCGTTCTTATTAGAGTTTAATTTAGAGACGTTTTTTGCTGTATTTAATGTGATTTAACAACTTTATAGCTATGTTTTATGGTATATATTTCGGTAACATCTTTTTAAAAGATTAATCATTACATCATTTTCGTTTCACATTCGTATTTTAGCTTATACAAACTTTAATATACTTTTAATTTATTACAGATTATGCGATCACCAATATAATCATAGAACATCGCATAAGTCAAAACGAAATAATTTTTTTTTTTTAGGGTGCGTCAAAAAAACAATGTTTTTGCGTTACATTGGGAAAATCGCGCACCCGTGCAACGCACAGCCTGTTAAATACACAATTTAGACTTAATACACAAGTTAGGACAATTTGTGAAATGCCACTTTATCTCATTACATACGTACGTACTCATTATAAGTCCCAAATTCGTTTGGATAACAATATAAGCCCCAATTCCGTTCGGATACAGTAACAAAAATTTTGGATTAGATCCATAATTTTCCGGGTCCCTGTACAAATTTTACATTTTAGGGAACGCCACCAACATAAATCTTGTTTTTTTTTATCAAAATATTAAACGTCAATAGAGTATATTCAATGTTATTTATGAAATTTCATGTGAAAGTTCAAGATATTCAAGCTTGAGCTTCGTTCTGAAAATCTACACATATATCCAGTTACTCACAAAAGTAACGTACATGGAATGCATATAGTTCATTCTTCTTTTTTTTTATTGATGAAAGGTCGTACACGGCGAATAGGGTATTAATTTAAGACTGTATTAAATGATCTGTAGATCAATCATTATTTTACCTTTTATTGTTAAATCAATCCAAATTACCACTTTAGTTGTGACCTAGACAAATATAACATCGAATTTAAACCCAACGAACGTGCATTGTGCCACTTTTACATTACTATCGATATAATCAATTCTGCTATTGGATTGTAATCTAATTTAATTAATCGTAAAAAAAAAAAAAAAATACTGTAAATATATATATATAAAGGTACGTACGTACATACCAGTAAGTGCGATTTATTCATGCGATTGATTCATTGATTCATTGATTTGAGAACGATATTAAGACAATGCCATTTAAATATCAGCCGATTGATGGACATTATCATGCAAATCGTTGCTTTTTGTCAAAGATTATTATTGCGACAATTGTAGCCGTAATTAGTGTCTGGACTCTAATAACGATATGTAACTATATATTATTTATGTTTTATTATGTAAATAGGTCACTTACTATTATTCTTTATTATAGGGACTAAACAAAAGACCCCAGAAAATTCGCACCTTATTATAGCAAACCATGGTGCCGTAGCTTCTGAACTAGTGGATTGTTCTAATATTGGAGTAGATGGTTGGATTTTTATTATCTCTGTATTAGTCTGAATTATTCATTTACTAGACAATTATATATATTATTATTTGTTATGTAGTTTTGAAAGAAGGTGGAACAGCTGTCGATGCGGCAATCGCAACTGAAATTTGTGTCGGAACCATTAATGCATTTTCCGCTGGTATTGGAGGGTACGTCTCAATCTAATCTATTATTATTTATATCCTATTTATTACGAAAATTAATATTTCTTGTAAACTAAATTAGTGGCGGAATAATGATAATTCGCTTACCAAATGGAACATCAGAATTTATTGATTCTCGGGAAACAGCGCCACTTGTAGCGAATAAAAATATGTTTGTTAAAGATCCTATTTCTGCTTCTGTTGGCGGTCTTTCAGTTGGTGTTCCGTAAGCTTTTAATTTTATTGCATTTACAATTTATCCATACTTATTCATATAATAATATAAAATTTTATTCATTTCTAATGTGTAGTGGAGAAATTCATGGAATGAAACTTGCGCACGAACGGTACTTCTTTCATTACCTTATATTATATATAGTTATATATATATTTTTTTATATTCTTACATAAATTCATACATGATGAATACATACACATGAATACATACACATGAATACATACATGAATATATACATGAATTCATCCATCAATTCAGGTATGGAAAATTACCATGGAAACGTTTGTTTGAACCATCGATAAAACTGAGTAGAGATGGATTTCCTGTTGGTCCAGAGCTTGGAATGAAATTAAGGGTAAAGCTTAATAATTATATATTAATTTATATAATTACTTGTATATGTTCATCTCTTTACTAGTATTAGTGCTAATTGTCCTTTTTTTATGATGATTAAATAAGGCTTATAAAGATTTGTTGGAAAATGACACTGCGCTATCAGCAATTTACGCCCCTTCGGGTAAAATCTTGAAGGAGGGTGAAATATTATATCGCCGTAACTTTTCAAGAACTTTAGAACTTATCTCTAGGAATCATACTGAATTTTATGAGGCTTGTATCTTTTTATTAATTATTTATTTTAACTGCGTTCTAATTCCATTGATACTTATCAACACGTTTTGTTTGAAAAATAGGGTTCCATAGCACAAGCATTGATCAATGAAATAAATAAACGAGGTGGTAGAATGTCACATGAAGATTTTAAAACTTATAAATCTATTATACGTGAACCCGCAATTGGCTATCATAATGGAAGAAAGGTTGGCAATGCTTTTCCCTAAAGAATTTTGCTAATTATATTTTATTGTTATTTATGATCGAATATATAAAAAAAATTGTTAGATCATTACAACACCAGAACCAACAAGTGGAGCAGTTTTGATATTTATGCTAAATTTGTTGGAAGAATACGGGATGTCTAAATTAAACGTAACAAACCTTCATAGGTATTTACTTGTGTAATTGATATTAGATAAAGTGAAAACGAAGTTTCCACTAATTCACAAGACATTATTATTACATACATACATACATATTATTAAATATGCATATTAATAACTAGGATTGTAGAAATAATGAAATGTAAGTTACGCATAATATTTGACTTTCTACTGTAGTTCTTTGGCTAACTTTTTGATTTATTAGATGGATTCGCAAGGCGGACTGAAATGGGTGATCCGGAATATGTAATATTTTTAATGATTTTTAATGACTTTCAATATTTAATAGTTTTAATTAATTTGTTAATATATTTGATTTCTTTACTTACTTTATTCATTTATTTGTTTTTTTTTCAAGTTCCGTGATCAAGTTGCACATGAAGCTCGAATACAAGAAATAATGTCAAAAGAATACGCGACATCGGTTCGAGCCAATATTTCTGATGTGAGTTCATCATATTCATAAAAATTGTTAATTCAACTATTTGCGATAATGTACTAAATTTGTTTATATATAAACAGAATGAAACGTTTCCTCCCCTCTATTATAACCCAATGTATGATCAAATGGATGATCATGGCACCACTCATGTGTCGGTTTTAGATATTAATGATATGGCCGTTTCATTCACTTCTACTGTTTGTATCATCTTTTTAATTCATTTTATATCCGAATTTTATAAAACATTGTCTTGATTTTACATATCTTTAATAGGTGAACTTATATTGGGGATCTCGAGTTTTAGATCCTGTAACTGGAATATTGTTAAATGACGAAATGGATGATTTTTCTATTCCAGGACGACCAAATGCCTTCGGACTTTTTCCTTCTCCTTACAATTATGCTGGTATGTTTTGTCTTTCTAACAATTATTTTTATATCATATTTTATATTTTGGTATATATATTCATAGCTCCTGGAAAAAGACCATTGTCATCAATAGTTCCAGCAATTGTTGAAAATGAAGATGGGAATGTTGAATTAGTGGCTGGTGGCAGTGGTGGAACTAAAATTCTTTCTGCTGTTTTTCAGGTATTCTTATCACTTAATTATAATGTTTGATCCGTGTACATTAGTTTATAAACGTGTCTTTGGATTTATTTAACTTGTAGGTATTGTTAAACTTATATGATTTTGATATGAGCTTGTTGGATGCTATCAATCATCCTAGAGTTCATCATCAGTTGCTACCTGATATGGTACGTATTTATTTAATTCAACCAAAGTTTCTATTTTTAATTTCAATTTAAAATTTAATTAATTATTACGTTAATGTGAAATGCAGTTGTTAATGGAACAAGGATATAACTACGAGTTAGTCGATAAATTATTAGGAATTGGGCATGTTGTAAGTATTTACGTGTTTATTTTGCCTATCTTAAATTTTTGAGTTTATTTTTAATTGTTTATTTTGTTTATTTCTTGGGGATTTTTTTGTTATATTTTTTGGTAGGTCCTATTACATAATGTAGAAGATAGAGGTTATTCTTGCCAAGTGCATGCTGTTAGAAAACTAAAAGATGGAACTATCCATGGTATATGTTTGTTCAAATTCTCGTAATTGTGGTAATTGTGTATGATGTTTATAGCTTATATATATATATATTTTTTTTGTGATTTTATAGCTGTAGGCGATTATAGAAAGAATGGAATGGGTGCTGGATATTAATTTATACAAAATCAAATTATATAGTTTTGAATGTAAATTGTTATTCCATTAAATTATAAATACAGATTATTTTTGGATTTTGTTTGTATTATATGATTAGTTTGATTTTCAGGATGAATGCACATACGAAGCAGTTCGTGCAAAGAATAATATCAAAAAATTTAAAGTGTTCTCAAGTGTGCACTGAAAATATTACTTTATTACACGGATCTTTTGTAACAACCCGTGCTTTTTCATTTACTATTGGCACGAGATTGTACGTCGGACACCGTGCAATAAAATAGTTATTATACGGGTTATAAAATAACCAAATTTGCATGCCTTCGGCCATGTAACGTTAACCCGCGCAAATTTAGTTATTCTTTACAACCCATACAATAACTTTAACTGGTTGTCATATTCTTAATCACCGAATATGTACCAATTTATACGAGTTGCAATCGTTTAAAAGTTTCAATTCAAAGTTTGTAAAAACGAGAATTACATAAACTGTCTTATTTTGAATAAGAAGCAGATATACTGCTTTTAGTTTACATAAACCATTATACGACATTAGTGTTCCGGATCGTATTATAAATCACGAGCTTTCCGCTACACCCTTAATTAAAAGTAATGCCCAAATTAGTTTATTGCATTTTCCTTTAACAATTTATACGTACGTACGTACCTTTGGTTTTGGCATTTAGTATGAAATTTGATTAGTCAAAATTAGGATATGTATATTATTTGACAGTTTAATTACATCCTTAGTAGTATATGCTTTTATTAAATTTAGTCAATAATTTTAGTATATATTTAATATTAGTAGTTAACCACCATGTAAAGTTGATATAAAAACGATATCATCATTATCTTTAATTTCATATTCTAATTCTCCTTCTAGTTCCCAATCTGTATCATTAATTAAAACCAAAATACCAGGTCGACTAATTTTTTTTGATCAATTTAAAAAGGAAAAGAAGTATTATTACAAAGAATATATTATAATATGTATTTTGAAGATAAAATAATACCTACACTGTATTACCGCTAACAAATAACTCAGACCTCTCTTTGAGTAAATTATTTTTGATCCATAAAATCTTTATCGAAAAGTAGCAACATTAAATTAATTTTCTAATAATCAAAAACATTCCATCTAAAAAAATTTCAGCTTTATAATGTATATTAATCGAAGGAATAAAACAAACCAAATCTTCCATAGTGGTAGGTTTTGGTGGATTAATAGTTGAAGGTATTTCTATAATTTTTTGTTTGATATTATTGAACAATAGTTCTACCCCTCCACTTTATTTTTTTTTAAAAAAAATATCCATCAAAAAAAAAAAAAAAATTCGCCTTTAATTTGCCTCCTTGTTTTCTTTTTGAGGTGAAAAAAATGAGATTTTCTTACCTGAATGTCAAATTTACTTTTATTAGAGATGACATTTAAGTTTGTTAATCAAGAATAACCTTAGGTTTGAAAATCGGATCGTCAAATCATTTATACGTATACATATTTACTGATAAACAATGTAATTGGGTCTAAAAAAATTTTTTTCTGTTGTTGGATTAACTACAATGTCAACAACCAACAAAATCAGAATAAATCAACTTTCCTCTTCAACTATTACTACCGATGTTCATCAACCTTCACAACAGTCACAACCACAACCATCGGTTAAACCATGTTGTGCATGTCCGGATACAAAAAAAGCTCGTGATGAATGTATATTTCAAACCGGAGATGAAGAAAAATGCCGAGATTTGATTGAAGCTCATAAAGCTTGTATGCGTAGTTACGGGTTTAATGTTTAACGTTAAGGTGTTTTTGTTTTTTTTTCAAAGTGCTGCTTTACATAACAATCCAGAAATTAAAGTGTTAACGGTCTTTGATAAATAGGGTTACGATTCAAACCTTTATTTGAATGAGAAATTATTAGGTAATTGGGGTTTGGGAATCAGGAGGTTTATTTCATTTGGGATAATAACCAAAGTCTAAATATATGATTCATTTTCGATCAAATAAATTATTAAAATTTTGAGTTCATTTTTAAAGTAAGAACAATTGACTAAAGAGGATCGTTAAATAGATTGATATGTTAGGTCTAATAGTTATATAAAAGTGAGGTTTTTTTACATTCAAAATAAATTTAAATCATAATAAAATTTTGACGAAATTTTCTTTGAAATTCGAGTTTTTTTAGAAATTTCTTCCGATGTTAATTGATAAATGAAATTACTCGTTATTATGATCCAATTCCCAGTCTCAAACCATAATCAGAAAGTTACCAAGATTTGTTTGCAAGGAAATTGAAACTTGAAAGCATTCTTAGTAAATTAGCACCGAGTAAATAAATAATGTACGATGCTATTACATTAAATTCAGGTAACATCGAAATTTTTTACAAGAGTTCATTTATTAAGCACTGAAAAGAATTGAAAATCAGCCAAGAAAATAGTAAAAAAAACTTATGTTTTTACCGGCGAAAATGTATCAGCTTTTTTAATATTGGCAAAACCAGCTACAATATCAACTAATTAACTGGTTATGGTCCAATTTTCAAGTCACTAGTGAAAACTAATTTTTACGAAAAATTTTTTATTGTAATTCAAGTTCCTGACAGTCGTTTTACCAAAAGAACATTTTCCCGATAAGATAATTATAATACTTGTTGATTTAATTAAGACTATATTCTTTCGGGAAAATCTTAAACGTCGTACTTGAGATTCTCAAAATCCTTTATTCTCTTTATTAAGTGACCCTTCTATACTATCATTAAAGAAAAGTGAATTATAAGTCAATTAAAAAATAGGTTTAGCTACGAAGCTACGAGAAAATAATAGCATAAAGGAGTTACTTTGTGATTTTCTGAAAGTTATTTCCCTAAGGAACATAATCGCGACTAAATCAGCCAGAATTATAGCTAATACCACCTAATTTTATTTTACAAGCTTTTAATAATAGTAACAAACACAGGGATGAACAAAGTGGAAATAAGAGCGGTGATAATGAAAGCTATATCTTATAAAGATGTAATCGAGTGTGGATTGTATTCAAAAAACATTGGTGGTATTGAGTATTACACGTAGGAACCTGAAATACAATATACGGACTATGAATATGGTTATACACAGTCACGTACAATGAAACTTAAAAATTAACCAGATCACTTAATATTTTAAAGATATATTTATTGCAATTATATCGCGTTTACATAACAATTAAGATACTGTAAATTCTAAAAGCACCTATGAATTAACTCAATTCAGTATTGATAAATTCGATAAATTTAGCTCTGAAATTTCACTGGTTGGTAAATGTTGTTATTCTTTGAATTTGAATTATTGAGACTTCTGTTTAAAAATATTCTGATAAAGCATACTTACTGACTAGCGTAGTGTACGCAGCGGTGTATGTCGGTTGGTGTGATTTCTGTTTAAGATATATTCGAACTTTAAATATTCACAAGCTGAAGTAAAAAAACTATAAACCTATAGAATTTTTTATTACATAATTATTGGGATAGCTGCGCAACATGTGACCATATGCGACGCGAGTTAGTTTCAGTCATAACTTTGAAATAAGCTTATAGCATTTTTATTTAATCGGATGAAACATGATTATTAACAGTAGTCAGAAATTAACAAGAGATTCGTTGTATTACTCTACTACCTTATTATACTTTATCTAAAATTCTTGAAACAGACTAACTAGGGCTTTTTATATGTTTCGGGCCTCCACAAGATTTGATTTGTAGGGGATTTCGGACTACTACGTTGGCTTTATATATCTTGTATATACAGTATATCACTAAGCAATTGTCTTTTTACACTTTTTTATATATAGATTTATAGAAACTCAAGATTTTTTTACTTGATCCTCAGAGTTTTAAAAATACATCTTAATCATCGAAGAATTGAGTGCTCGAGTAGGAAAACCTGTAACGGTAGGTAAAAACATCCCTGAAGAATTGTGATATTACGTAATTAACCACATATATATACGATATTATCTGAGACTGGTCTAGGAAAATGTCAATCTGGAATTTGAGAATTCTCCGATTGATCATTATGAATATTATGAATACTTTTCTTAATCGGGAATCCTTTAATTCCCAGATCAACATTTTCCCAGACCAGTTCTCATCTGGTATTTAGCCAGAATGATGAGTGCTCGAGAGCGAAAAGGACATAGGCAGAAGTTTGTCTGATTGGCTAATAAATTCAATTTAATTTTACATTATTTATACAGTTTAGAGTACCTTTTTAAAAAACAAAAACTAATCATAATGAAATAAAAAAAGCTGTATAGGAGGTTTCATTAGAGCTGTAGGACTTCATAACCAAAAATAATCTTTTATTCTCGACCGTTTAAAAAAATTAGCTTAACAACAAGTTGATTTTGTCGTTTTTAAGAAGTTCTTACTATACTAACTTTTTTAAACGGACGAGAATAAAAGATTAATTTTGGCTATGAAGTCCTACGGCAATAATGAAACCTTCTATATAGCTTTTTTTTATTTCATTATGATTAGTTGTCGTTTTTTTAAAAAGTACTCTAAACTGTATAAATAATATAAAATTAAATTGGATTTATTAGCCAATCAGACCAACTTCTGCCTATGTGCGAAAAGGTGCAATTAAATATTTGACGCTCACAAAATATTGTACGATTTGGACCAATCAAATTTCAAGATCAGCCTGATCTTGAAATTTGATTGGTCCAAATCGTACAATATATTTTGTGAGCGTCAAATATTTAATTGCACCTTTTTGCTCTCGATACGAGCTCTCATATACGATTAATTACGTAATACCGATATCAATTCTTTAGGAGATAAATTTTTACTTACCTCTTAAGTGCTCATTTGTGAAATTATGATATCATAAAATGAAAATTTTTTCTCAATAGGATTAATTATTACGGTTAGGCGTTAACGTTAAACAGAATTAAATTTTATACTCACTCTGGTAATTTATTGAACGATTAAATAAATAAATAAATAATTATGGTTAATCATACATTCTCTTGAAACACAAGCGTTAACAGAAATCGGATTAAAATGAAATTTGGGGCTTCTATTTTACCTTATAAAACCCACTTATATTTGTTTACTATAAATTCTACCCCCAAAATTTGTATCTTTTGGTGCTTGTCTATTTTACCTTATACAAAATTTCATTTTAATCAGATTTCATTTTACCAGGTTTCATTTTAATCAGATTTCATTTTAATCAGGTTTCATTTTAATCAGATTTCATTTCATTTTTAATATGCATCTACAAACGATTACCATTTATGAGAGAAAGAAGTTGTAACCACAACATAGCTTCGCATTTATATTAAACTATTACCGTTTATTTAATTTTACTTTTTTCTCTATAGCTGCTATTATTGAACAAACCAAAGAATCAAAAATTTACACTTTTAGTAATTTATACGATAACCACAATATACATTAAAATGCATATCTTCTGAAGCCACGCGTACGTACGTAAATTCAAAAAGGTTGAACGGAAACCATCCCTCACATATTTCATATGATCGTACTAAAATTAATGCACCCCATTGGGGTGTGCTTATAATTATGGCATGAAATTTAGGGATGTTATCCTGCTTACCTAAACCCGAACCAGTTAAACACGAGTTTTTTAATCACGTGAATTTAATCATGTAAAATGAAACTCCTTGTGCTCGAGTCGAGTTCAACATCGATCTTAAGAGCAAAAAGCTTCGCAATATCGATATGTAACTTTTAATGCATATACAGTATTCCAACAAATAACGGGTTTTGAACTAACATGTTCAGGCAAGCATAATTAATAGTCATATATCCAGTTTTAAAGCAGAGTTTGATACCCAGTTTATGTGTTGTGTGTTTCGGAACAGTGTTCGAGCGGGTTTCGAAGCACAAACTAACCAGTTTAAGCAGGATAACATCCCTAATGAAATTGTATTGTATAATATTTTCAATTATTCCTTCGATAAGAAATCTGCTCAATAATGATAATGCACTCGTATTCTTTGAAAAATAAGCTTTAAAGACATTATCATGATATTTTTGCGATATAAGTATTTTCACGATTTTACCAGGTGATAAGTTATAACCAATTAAAAAATGATGTAGACCATTTAAATTTATACTATTTGACATTTTTTATCGCAAAACCAATTTGAGTAAACATGTTAAATTAAATTATACATTATAATAATTCCAAAGTTAAAAAAATTTTTTTTTATGAATGAGATATTCCTTTATTCAAGTTTCAACTTCTAATTCCAATATTCTCCCACTTTAAACATTCAAGGAATTTCTCATCTAACTCTTTAACGTCACAATTAGGTGTAATTGCTATAGTATTAATAGCCTTTGAATCTGCTTTATCCGGAATACCTCCATTAAGTGTGCTCTTAATGAAATCGCAAGAACTTTTTATCGAGAACTGGGTAATTTTTTCGGTCATAAACTAATTGATTATGATTATAAAAAGAACATTAAATAAATACACATGTAAAGTCACTCTGGTTATATCTACACCCGGATATACCTGCATCTGACTATAACGACATTTTTTAAAATTTTGAACCAATAATACTTAATATGAAAATGCCTCTGGTTAAGCAGACATCTGGATATGTCGACAATTTCTTGATTTTTTGAAGCGTCGATATAGCCAGTGTAACGTGTAGAAAAAATGAACTGATATTCCCACACCTTTAGATCACAACGTACATTATATTGTTTTCTTTATATTGTCAATCTATACGATATGTGCATAATTTACAACGTACGTACAAGGGTGTGGAAATAATAGTTCCCATAAAAATTAGAAAATTTTTTGGTATCAAATAAAACTCACACTTTGAAAACAATGACACGCCTCTTCATAAATTTCAAGAGTGACCTTAGTTGGCTTCTTAAATGGTGAATTAGCAAAATTTGTTGTAGCGTATTTAGGTAATTGAAATTTACTTGGATCAGAAGCTCTGAAACTGAA